CAGTGGGGTACAGAAGCAATTGTTGAGCGGACTCACGTAGACAACGCCGTCGATGCCAGACAGCTGAATCATGCCGAGAATGAAGATGGCCAGGGTTGTTCTAGTACGGTATCCTCTCTTGAACAGCAGGGTAAAGCTCTGCCATGGAGAAAGACTAGGCTTTTGCTCTGATTGCGAAGTAGAGAGAAAGTCCCGCTCAGCTTCGGCTCTGGAAAAGTCGAGTCGTTCGAGGGCGCGCATGGCGTCAGCTCGACGGCCGTGAAGTAGTAACCACCTCGGTGATTCGGGGAGGACGAGGCTGCTAGCACCGAACAAGACGGCGGAAACACCTTGAATTACATAGGGCAGCCGCCAGGACAAGCTCGAATCGATATTGACGGTCCCGTAGGCGGCAAAATATCCAACACAGACTCCCGCGGTCGACATGAACTGAGGGAGCGCAGCCAACATACCCCTGGATCTGGCGGGTGAAATTTCGCAGATGTAGACGCTCAAGTTGGCCAGAAAGACTCCCTCGCCGAGGCCAGCCAAAGCCCTTCCAAACAGGAAGTGTGGCAGCGTGTATGCTGTACCCTGGAGCAATACTCCAATTCCGAATAAGATAGCTCCCGCAACGTTCAATTTCAGGCGTCCGAACCTGTCTGCAAGATACCCGGTCAAGACGGACGGAATGGCCCCCGTAAGCATTATGAGTGAGACTGTGAAACCAACGAGAAAGGGGCTCAAGTTCCCTATCGACTCTTTGAATTGAGACATGGCTGTTATCGCTCCGATAGAGCCTGTGTCGAGGCCATTCACAAGCCCCCCGAGTGAGATGGCCAAGGAAGCGACGACGTACTTGGGAATTCGTTTAGGAGACATGATGAATGAGTAAAAATCAAATTTGTCTCTGGAGTTCGAAGATGAAATGAAGATGGAAAGTTGGCCTCAGTAGACAACTTCAAATAGGTAGCTCAGTCATACAGTTAGTTATTCGTTTCCCGCGCCGATGGCCGGCCGGAGGGGTTACGGTTAATGTTCTTTGAGTGACGTTGCAGAAACGTACCCCGCCCTTCCAACGGGCGCTTGAATGCAGCCAAAAGTTCTAACTCGCCTGAAATTGGTGGTCAGAAAGACCATTGTTTGTGTGCATGGCGCTGACGATCCCACCCTCACGAACTCGGATCGAGATGTGACCGACACCTCGGTGAGCCTCGGTGAGGCGACCAACGTCGAATATAGGCGCTATGACACTTGTGGGAAATTGCGAAACTTCCTCGGGTTTGAATAAGATGTGGTCCTTCTAAAAGACAATTCACCGGTCGCTTAACATATTCAAATGCAATTATTACTATGAAGTGATATAGTACATTAAAGTATACTTTTTAGAAACTCTACTAATATATAAGCTACTTTTATAACTACCCCTTTTCCCTTCTCCTTTTTCTTCTCACTCTTTAGTTAGCTTTAATAGTTAGAGAGGATTATAGTAATTACTATAATTATTTTATTTTTATATTTTTTTAAAGTTATTTAGTTTATTAAGTTTATTCGAAATTTCTTCTATTTTCTTATTATTTCTAAATATTTTATAGAGTTATTACTGTTAACATATAACATTCTTTTATAATAATAATAATAATATAAGAATAATAATAACGCTAAACTTACTTTAATATTCTATATAAAATAAACTAATAAAGTTTTAAGGTATAAAACCTTATATAAAAATACTTGATTTATTATAACTTATAACTATAATATTGATTATGTAATACGTACAGTTACGTAAGCACCTTATGTAACTAGCAGTTTAGCAGGTTACGTTTCAGGTTATCTTTCCCCTCACTTTTCCCTACTAGAGGTTGCAACCTGCGAACAACAACAACCAGACTCATCACAATACATCTGTTCCCTTATTCTTATCTATTCAATTAAATGCTCATAAATGATCAGAATTATTACTTTTTATCATAACATTACCACATCTATAACCTTATACTATATAGGCGCATATACCACGCCCCTGAATACGCTTATACCTGTGTTAACAATTACTAGTTAGTTTAATACTTTTTAATATTAAGTATCTTTTTATTAAATTAGAAAAAAAAGAATATAGTAATTTAATAAATAAATATTTAGTAAGAATATTTATTTTTAAATTTACTTAGAGATCTAATATCAAAATGTATATAATTAATAAAGAACTAAAGTTATTATCTATATATTCTTACTAAAATAATAAAATTAATTTTTTTTAGCTTACTAATTTAGTAATAAGTATTCTAATAAATTTAATTATAATAAGTTGATTTTATTAAAGATAGTTGATAAATAGAAAAATAATAGATCTATATTTTTCTTTTTATATAATTTTATATAATAAGTTATTTATAAATTATTAAAATTATTAATAATATTCTTATAAATTTAGATTCAAGCTTTCTTAGTTATTATAAGTCATATTATAATATATAATAAGTATCTATTAAAATATAAATAGAATTTTTATAGTATAGCGTAAACCTCCATAAATTAGATATAGCTAGGCTTAAAGGGTAGAAGATATTCAAATGCAATCAGAGTTGAAAAGTTAGCAAATGATTACCCTTTGCTAATTAAAAGGAGTGGACGTCATCCAGCGGAGGTACGTAAGATCTCAGAGCACGGGCCATGTCGATAACGATAAGCCGGCGGACAATTAATTCAATCTACTCCTGAACTGGACACGGCGCATTCTACGCATCCCTCCCTCCGCTTGAAGTCGATTCCTCGTGATACACTTCCAGTCGCGGTCGACCACCGATTTAATTCGCATGAAGTTTCTTTGAGTTCTAGTCACTCCTTTGGACACAGTTCTGGCTCCGTAGAGCCCGCCCCTCCTTTCCGTTCTCGATGCCTTGTTCCCTTCTCACCCAGCGCCATGGACGGTGATCCGAAGGTTGAGTCGGAGCTCGACTCGTTCAGCTTGACCTTTCCCCTGCCCTATCGCATTGGGTTTATTATCATACTGGGTAAGTCGCCAATACCTGACGCTTAGAAAACGGAACTGACAGCGAGATAGCCGTTTGGGGTTGGGGAGTGAACCTCCACTGCCTTCACCAGTTCAAAATCGACGTGCCCACCTTGATCCGATACCCTACACGATCCTCTCCGACGGAGCCGGCGCATCACCTCTCGACATACCGCCTCGCGACCGTCCTTTCCACCGTCTTATTCCTCTCGATCTCGACGTTCTGGATCTTCACCCGTCGCACACCCTCCCTCGTTATCGAATATGACTGGCTGCCGATGACATATTTCGTCGCCCTCGCGGCCATCTTCTTCGTCCCGATCCGCAGCTTCTCACACGGCGGGCGCTCGCGGTTCCTTGCGACACTAAAGCGCGTGAGCATCGGAGGGATCGCGCAGGCTCAGGACGGCAAGTTCGGAGACATCCTGCTCGCCGATGTGTTGACGAGCTACTCGAAAATCTTGGGAGACCTCTACGTTGTTCTCTGCATGTTCTTCACGCCGTCTGGTTCCTCGACCGCTCGTCCTGACCGCAGCTGTGGCGGAACTGTCATGGTACCGCTCATCATGGCCGTGCCTTTCGCGATCCGGTTCCGACAGTGTATCATCGAATATTTGCGAGTAAAGAGGGCGCCGTATAAAGAGTCTGTCGGCTGGGGCGGTCAGCATCTTGCCAACGCAACCAAGTACGCGACAGCGTTTCCGGTCATTATCTTCGGCGCAATGCAGCGCAGCTTGCCGGCCGGCACGTCTGCGCCCGGGCTGAATAGGGCGTGGTTGGTGGCAGCACTGGTCAACTCGCTCTACTCTTGGTATTGGGATGTCGCCAAGGATTGGGACCTGACTCTCTTCTCCTCGGCCAGGGAGCGCAACAATCCGGAACATGCATTCGGCCTGCGGCGGCGACTTGTTTTCCAGCAGCCGGTCATCTACTACTGTGTTATCGGGATGGATCTGATGCTGCGTTGCACTTGGTCCATTAAGCTGAGCGCGACTTTGGACAAGTTCACCGACTTTGAGAGCTCCATTTTCCTTTTGCAATCACTTGAGGTATTCCGACGTTGGGTGTGGATATTCTTCCGAGTCGAGACGGAGTGGCTTAGGAACAACACGTCGGGATTGGGAGTTGACGATATCTTGCTGGGGGACTACCAGGGCAAGTATGATTCTGACGAAGACTAGGGGCCCAGCAAGCCCCCTGATGAGAAAAGTACTGTAATGTAGTGTGCGATTAGGAATCTCTGGAGTTATCGGCCTAGACGGAAGAGCGGTCAAAATCAGCGATCTGCTTGGGGGCCCGCAGGAGTTCGACACCTTTCATCGAGTCTATAGATTATCTTTAAACGGATCTGTTCTATGTGAAGCTGTATATGCGATTATGACATGGGTATCTCCTTCGTTTATCCTCCAAGTATCCTGGTTAGGTAGGCAACTTACACAGGAACTCAACTCCCATTATTTCCTCCAACGCTATAATCCAATGCAAGGGCGTTTGTTCACAGTGACCAAGACAGCCAAGGCCTTTTTGACGTGTTCGGCGCCTTCAACTTATTCAAGCAGTATCCGTTATAATTGCTCCTTCTCCGGCCGTCGCATTCGCACCGGCACCCAATGCCGCCTTCGATTGGTGGCGAGAATGTTTTGTTGCCAAGCCTTAGAGAGCCTTCCAACTGCCCTCCTGGGGCATTCGCCGGACATTGGAAGACGTCGTCATGTCTGTATCCAAAGTCTTCAAAGTGGTGAACCTGACTGGGGTCAAGAAGCATGCCCACGGCCAGTGAATGTACAGCGGCATCTCCCCACTAAATGCAACGACAAATCCCTGTCAGCGATCTTGTGCAACCCGAAAGTCGCCAAGGCAGCGGCGTAGTGGAGGTATTTCGGGAAGCGGCTCGGCAGTCTTGAAAAGGAAGTGACTTCTTCTTTCCCAATTCACCCCGGCCGGCGTCTTCCTCTTTACACTCCCCAACACCATCATGTGCCTTGACGTATTCTTCAATGTACGGCTATCGACTCACCCTTTCGAAATAGAACCCGCCCGTGCTTTCGAGCACCCTGAAGAATGACTGGTATTGTTTGCCCCTGAAGAAGTCGAGGTCTGCAATCTCGAAATTACTCCAGTAGTGGCAGCCGCTCCAGACGTCGCCGAATCGATTGCGATGCGGTAGAAAACTCATCAGTGATCTCAGTGGATACGGCAACCAGGACGGCTCCATCATCGCCGTCCAAAGCGACGATGACGCGATGTCGAAAGCCTCCTTGAACTCGGCCGTGTGTCGGAACAGCGACGGGACCGTGGCCCATTCCTCCCAGAGAGACAATGTGAAGCCGTACACCTTCTTGCGCCGGGCCATTTCGACGAACGGATCGTATGTTATCGAGCAGTAGAAATCGACGTCCGGTTCGAGTCGCCAGTACCACTTGTACTTTTGGAGTACTTCGAGGTGGTAGAATTTCCTGCGTTGCTTTCGGTGAGTCTCTGTCCTCAAGTACACTGTACCTGCCCAGCCTTTCTTACTCACCCTGAATAGAACCGGCACATGTGGTGGTAGCCTTCTTGCCCAGCATGTATCGTTCCACGTGCTCCCTGCTTGGCGATGCTCTCCTTCGCTGCTGTTTGGTTGAGCCACGTCGGAAACGTCCAATCTTCCCGTTGTATTGTCTCGAATGTCACGTCTCCGCTTGATGTACTCCCCAGCACCTCCATGAACCTGTTGTCGAACGGCTCATCGTTGAGGAACACGATTGGGTAATGGAACCATCGATTGAAATGCCTCTCGAAAGATGCGACGGTATGATTTGCGGCCTCGAGCTCCGAGTTCCTCGCCAGCATGACAATCACTCCGTTCTCGCGGTTGCCGGTCACGTCTGGCTCACGACACGACGTGGAGAACGGCTCATCTTGCTCTTCGACCGGCACTGGTACCCTGAATCTGCTACAGTGGTACGCAGACTCGAGCAGCCCAATGGCAAGGAGTACCCAGACCCAGATTGGTAGACGGAAGGACGTCGGTCGTCGTCGCGGACTCACGTATCGGCGAATCATGGCCTGCACAATGGGAGCTCGCAAACACTTGCTACTTCCTGTCCGGCCTTGTTGATTGTTGCATGAACTTCCTATTTCCTATTTGGCTCACAATCAAGGAGAATCTCAGGTCAAGAGGAATGCTAGGCTCCCTAGGCACCCGCGCTACCTCTGGAACAGATCCAAGACACACGGGTAAACTACGACCCAGCTGGCGCGCGCGGAATGTTTGGCTGCGAACGCGATTGACCGCGACCGCAGTCGCAAGCCCGTCTGTACCTAGACACATGGCGTAGCTGACGCCAGCTTGACTCGAAGAAGCCCGAGCTGACGCACGCCAGACGCATACTGACACCAGCCAGGAGATTGAATCTGTGCTGGCGCTGTCTGGACCACGGGAGTTACGAAGAGAGGGAGAAAGCGGGAGGACCCCCCTGGCTAGCCTGGAGATCGTCTGCAAGCCATCAGTCAAAAGATGGGACGGCATTGGCTCATCCCTGTCCAGTCTGCCCAATGCTCGAGCTAGCTGCAGGATATCTGCCCCCCGCACGGGTAACCACGTACCCAACGCGGGACGGACAGTTAATGAGCCGCCATGAGAAAAGGAGACCTCTCGTCTACTATTGCTCGCAATTTCTTTTCCGCATCCGTGGAAGCATTGAGGCTTAGAGTTGTCTCGTCCAAGACCAGTTCCGCTGAAAGGCCAGAGACCGCCAAAAGGAGCTCTGGTCACCACCCATCGATCCAGACTTGTTGCCAATCGCAACCTCATGTTCTACGATTGAGGATGTTCCTGGGCCGTCGGAATGGCCTTGAGATCTTCAGATCACTGTATCATCATGCAGATCCCTCCGACTTCAGCCTTTCTTCAGCTTCCCCCATGGATCGACAATTCACTGTGCTCAGGCTCGGAAATACCAGAAGATACTCCTTTCAATGTCAGTATTGACCAGTTCGCCTGGATCTTTCCTGTCAGCCACGGGCTTGCAGTAACTTGCCAGCTTGCATGACACGTGTAATACGAGTCCCTCGCAATCGTCATGAAGCATTCCTGTCCCAGAGACCTTAAGGATGCAGTACGCCACACAAGGCCATGCGTCTATGATAAGCCTTCAAGCCAGCCTCAAGGAAGATGCTTTTGGACATTTCTCTTGGAGAACCACAATGCTTTTGTGCTGATTTTAAGCGTACGGCATACAGGAGAATGGCTGAGGCAGGGTGAGGCTATGCAGCATCCACAGATCGTAGCACGTGTCCACCGGCGGAGAAGACCACAAGCGGGAGCTTCCAAACTGCGATCGCCACAAGAAAAGGCATCGGTTTCGATTGCGCCTGGCAACCCTCTCAGCAATCCCATACGATTACGGAGCTCCTCAGCCGTGAACACGGCAGGCCCTGGAAAAGAGACGGGTCGAGAACTCGGGCAGGGGCGCCTGGTTCATCAGAGCAGGCCTGGCCCCGGGGCTGGTGCGAGAAAGCATCGCGATTGGCTACCATCGGGCCGCCACACTCTGTAAAGCGAGGGAACTGCTGTCTATCGCCGTTTGCGGACAGAATGACGTGGGTCTGGCAACAACTCCAAAGGGGCCCGTCAGGCCATGAACTACGCTCGATACCCAATCCGATTACAGCAGAGATTTCAAACGGCTATTCCGACCTTCAACGGCCTATTACTTCCATCTCTCCGGTCCCCTATGAATTTCAGATGCGAAGGCGAGATCCTAAGTCAGGTTGCGAGGCCCTAGAGCAGAATCACGATTCATCCCTGTGTCTCGTATTTGGCGCCAGATCTGTGAGAGCTGGGACTCGGTTAGAGCGGCCTGTGTAGACAAAGACTAGCCTCCATCATGATGTCCGTCATCGACCAAATCTGTGCGGCGATTCGACGGGGAAAGGCGAAGCTTCCTCCATGTTCCACTCTCCCGGGAAGCACCCCGCTCGACCCAAGCTGGCGGGTCGACAAGGGCAATGTCTCAGAGCTCATCGAGGAGGCATTCAAGCAGATTTTGGGTGTCTTCACCCATTCAAGTTTGCAGCATTGTTCGTTCGTAACATGAGTGCAAAGGGGGCGTGAGCCATGGGCTGCCTGCGCAGCCCCGGGACAGTAAGGTCAAGCCGCCGTTTCTCCTCATGATGCCAAAGCACGCGGCCGCCGCGGGCTGTCGTCTTCCCGAGCACAAACAGAGCTCTCCTAGATAGTCGTTCTTGGGCGAATTGTAGCCAAGAGCCATCTTTCAGCGCGAGGCGCAACAATTTCTTAGCTTCATTGTCCGCGCTGACGGACATTCATACTACGAAGTCTCGTCGACCGGCGGTTGTAGAAGCCAAGACTGCTTTGAGTCTCGGACTCTGGCCAAGTATTCGGCGCGAAGCCTCGAAGATGCTCTAACCTTGCTTGCTGAAGACCCCACGCCTTTACGCGTGTAAATGTCGATTAGGTTCATGCTCCTGCCGTTCCGCCTCGGCCCCGGAGTGGACGGGATGTCAAGGTAGGAAGATCAGGGGTGGCACAGGGAGCAGGAGCATCACAGCGTCAGCCCTGCAGATCAACATGCAGGGACATCTGCTCCAAACAACCTTGGCATACATCCTCTTGCAACCAGTACGGGCAAACAAGTGGCCTGATCAAGCAATCATCTCAATGGATGTGAGCAGCAATTCGCTTCATTGGGCGAATGAACGTGGCTCAGCCAAACTGTCAAACAGTGACAAGCTTGACACCATCAGACGTCTTGATGGATGGTTCGGCACACATGATGCCAACTGATGCTTTGGTTTCTCACGACGTAGATAACGGCAGCCAAACCCCCTCTAACTCAGGCGTTTGAGAGGGGACCTTTTTGTTTCCTCTTCTAACGCACGTTGAGATTGCACACATCCGCCATTCAGTCGAATTCTTGAAGTTCATCGAAGGGGTCCTCAACTGACGAGGGCTTGCTACCGCGGCTTGGCCTTTACTTTCCACACGACAACTCTTTGTTCAGAGAGTCATTCGCTTTGTGCTGGCCATTCCCGATCCAGTCATCACCACCGACAAAGACTTCGTGCTCAGTTCTAGAAAATCATTTCGCCGCATTCGGTTGGGTGTCTCGCTCATCAGCTTGGTCATCGACGGGCTGCTACCAGTGGTATGGAACATATTGCGCCTGACTCCCGGATTTCGTCCTAGATATCATTCTTGCTGGACTTTTTCCCTCTTACGCACCGAAATCCCATCCCACTGTCCCGTCGAGGAATCATCCAAGATGGAACCTCGAATCATCCCCAGCCAGTTGCCGCCTGGCTTAGAGATTGCCATTCCGCCTGGACACGATCTGCCTCCTCAACAACCGTCGAGCACATACCAAAGAAAGCCCCTGCCACCACTTCCTCCTTTGAGACCCGGTCTTTCACGCCAGGTCTCGGCTTTCTCTGTTGCATCGAGGACGACAATCAATAGTACGAGATCGCGAAGCAGACGCAGGAATACGCCGTCACCGGCACCATCAGGGCGGGAGGCGATCGAGAGACTCGAAAACGAGATCAGTACAATTCTGATCCAGCACAGCCCGACACCTGTATCCAGGAGATCATCAGAACACCGAAGCTGCTCGCCAACGCCTCGGCGACTTCCACGCGATGAAGAGGTGACGAGAGCTTTGGCTCCACGGCGCCTTTCAACACCGAATCTACCGTCGTCGCCGTTACTTTTGAACCCGATAACCACGCCTTGCACACTACATCGTTCTTCAGCCAAGATCAAACAGATCACAGGCCTCGATGTCGCATATAAAGCTATCCCGCCACCGCGTCCACCCCGGTCTCCCCTGCCACCAGGCAAGCTCGCGTTCCCACCGTCAACACCGGACAACCCGAGCAAACCCCCGCCGCCATCATCATCAGAACCGACGCGGACACTAGGCCTTATTACTGATGATTATGACGACGAATCAGATTTTGACAGTGATTGGGACTTCAGTCCCAGTTCAAAGCGAAACTACGCATCTTGGATCCCTGCTTCGCCGGTACCGCCCCGGGTTGAGATTCTCGACTTTGACGAGGCGAGCCCACGCCGCCGCGACTCGGAGATTGGACCGCTCAGGTCGCCCGGCATGCATCACTTTGAGACGTTGCCGGCACGGCGAAACAATCATATGGAGGTTAGCTATGTGGGAGCCAAGGACCTTTACCACGCGACAGCCACGTCAATTGCGAACTCTGGGCGCAAGAAGGCTGCGGCATCGTCCAGGGCCAGCACCGAGTCGGGTCGCGACTCCATTGTGCCTCCCAAGAACCGACTGAGCTTCGCGACCAAGGTGCTTCAGTCGGGTAGGAAGCGCCCCCCGACGGGCATCAATACCACGACGCAATCGCAGTCCCCATCCCCACCGGGTCCCATGACGGGCTCGGGAAGACTGACGGCGGGCTCGCGTCCAGACATGCACGCACACTCGATGGACGATGACCGTCTCCGGGTGAAGTACTCGGACGCCATTTCCCGTGTCTTCAGGTGGAGCGGCGAGCACCGGAGGGCGGTCTCAGAGGGCACATCACCGGTCGATGGGCCGGGAGCGGAACCCCGAACCGTGGCGACGCCCACCACCGCGAAGACTGTGTCGTCCATGTCATCCTCCGGTACCGGGTCGCCCGTGACGGCGGCCAACTCGCCGAACAGGATGGCCAGGCGTTCGGTGCACAACCTCGCGGCCCACGTCAGGAGGACGGCAAGCGTGATGGTGCAGTCCAAGGATGAGCGACGGAGGGAGAATCTAAGGCAGAGCATCCGGGTGATTCCGGAGGGCAGCGCAACATGAGGAGAGGTTCAATATGCGACGGCGTCGGGGTGGCGTTCGGGGCGGCTTTGGTTGGCTGCTGTATGCTTATTTGGCGTTACGGGAGGGACGCAGCACGCCCGCCGCGTTTGGGATGAGAAAGCGGCCAGGTTTGGCCAGAGGCTCTTGGGATGACAGGGAAAAGTTTGAGATGGTGTCCTGTCTCGGTGTTCGCGTTTAGCGTTGCATGTTTGTCCGGCCCCGTCATGG